ACTGTAACATGATTGGATGTTATTTTGCGCATGTCATATTTTATTTGATTTACTCAGGAAAACTATAATAGATAGAATGAATTCAAAAGATGCATATGAAAGCTGAGTGTTTGGGGAATCCAGCAAGTATAAATACATTCCTGTGCTCTTATCCATATTGCTGTAATACTCGTTTAAAGTTGAAAAATTGAAATAATAAGGTTAGAAAAAGCAGTGTTTTCACATTTCATTGATTTACTCGAAAATTTTACAGTTAAATCAATAATTTTATGAAATTCTTAAGTTGCATTAAACAAAGTATAAATTAACTATAAATATTGACTAAATAAATGATTAAGAAAAGAATTTGAAGAGATTTGAAAGTTAAAAATAATAATTTTATGTAATTATCAATTGAATTAAATAAAATGAGAATTAACAAATAAGAAAATGACTAAATCTTACGTAAGATTTCTAATAGAAAATTGAGAAGTTTTCTATTTGTGTTACAATAATTTGAATTCAAATAAATACGTTGGCTTAGAAAAAATCGAAAAATTTAGTTCCAAGAATATGTAGCAGATTACGTTGCTTCTTCACTATCAACTGTACAGGAAACTGTTTCCACTGAAAAAAGTAAGGTTAAAAAGTTAGCAAATCATTCCCACTAAACTGTGTCTATTTCATCAATATTAGCTGTTTCCAGTTGAGAATTACTAAAACTAAGGTTAGTTAACATTTGTGTACTGTTTACAATTATAATAAACTAAACTTCTAGTTTAAACGAAATGGATAACCAAAATAAGAAAACTCTTTTGGATGTGTATCACAAAGAAACGAAATCCCAAAAAGACATATTCACAATCCTCGAATTCATCTTCGGAAAGAAGTTTACCACAATCAACGGACAAAGAATCTTCGCTCCGCGCTCTGGCGAAACCAAAAACGTGGACACTTGCGAAGTCTTCGTCTGCCAATTGCCGCGAAACATCTTCGAGGATAAACTTCTCTTCCTGTTTTCCGCCGTCGGTCCGATCCAGGAGATGCGTCTGATGCTCGAATTCTCCGGCTACAATCGCGGATTCTGCTACGTCGTCTACGAAACGCCAGAACTGGCGCGAATCGCCATCGAATTCCTGCACGGATTAATTTATTTCGGCAACAAATTATCCGCCTACGCGTCCGTGGATAATAGAAAATTGAAATTAACTAAACTCCCTATGATGATAACAGATGAACTAATCAGAGTCGAGTTGAGAACTAAAATGGAAGATGTTGTTAGCATTGAGATCTACTATGAAAATTGCGATAGAACAGCTGTCGTTAAGTTTCTTACGCACGGTAAAGCCATGAAAGTTAGGAAGCAATTTTGGCCTAATAACTTGTTGATTTGGGGTCAGAGGGTTAACTTGGATTGGTGTAAACCGGAAAGAAGCATGGTTCTTAGAGCCGAATCGAGTCTCCTCATCAGTAATTTACCTTTGTACGTCAGCGAGCGTTCTGTGTTGAAATTCGTTGCGAGGATCGTGAAGAAGGATGGAACCGTTATGGAGATTAAAAAACTTAATGGTAATAGTTTTGTTATAGAATTTTTGCAGAATTATTACGCGAGGAAAGCCTTCGCCCTATTGGAAGGTAAAAATTTGATTTATGCTTACTACATATTATTATTTTATTAATCTTTTTTTTAGGAACTTCTTATGGTAACAAGAAACTTTCCATTGCCTGGAAAACAAATTTCAATTAATCAATAGAATTGATTACGTTTCAATTATTTAATTACTTCACTTAAAGTTTAAATAATTAATAGTTTGTTAGTAACAATAAGAATAGTTTCTAAATAAATAGTTTTAAATAAATCTTAATTGAATGTTTTCTTTTTTTTATTATTCCTTCAATTATTTATGAATATTTCAATGTTAGATATCAACAAGACAAAAATTAAACAAAGACATTAAATTAACACTATTTTCAAGAATTACTATCAACTCATTCATAGTTTATAAACCATAAATTCACTTCTAATTAATAATAATATTATCATTTACATTGAACATCAATGAAATTGACGATATTTCAAGATCAAACTAATAAAATTAGACAAATTTTACAATATTTCTTTTCAAGAAATAAGAGTATTTCAAGATTAAATCAATAGAATTGATTACGCTTTTAATTATTATTATTTTATTGACCTTTTTTTTAGGAACTTCTTATGGTAACAAGAAACTTTCCATTGCCTGGAAAACAAATTTCAATTAGCCAAGAGAAAATTTGTTCGTCTCTACCTTAAATGTTTATAATTAATAGTTTGTTAGTAACAATAAGAATAGTTTCTAAATAAATAGTTTTAAATAAATCTTAATTGAATGTTTTCTTTTTTTTATTATTCCTTCAATTATTTATGAATATTTCAATATTAGATATCAACAAGACAAAAATTAAACAAAGACATTAAATTAACACTATTTTCAAGAATTACTATCAACTCATTTATAGTTTATAAACCATAAATTCACTTCTAATTAATAATAATATTATCATTTAAAGACATTGAACATCAATGAAGAATTACGAGTATTTTCAATATCAAACTAATAAAATTAGACAAATTTTACAATATTTCTTTTCAAAAAATAAGAGTATTTTCAAGATTAAATCAATAGAATTGATTACGCTTTTAATTATTATTATTTTATTGGTCTTTTTTTTTAGGAACTTCTTATGGTAACAACAAACTTTCCATTGCCTGGAAAACAAATTTCAATTAGCCAAGAGAAAATTTGTTCGTCTCTACCTTAAATGTTTATACTTAATAGTTTGTTAGTAACAATAAGAATAGTTTCTAAATAAATAGTTTTAAATAAATCTTAATTTAATGTTTTCTTTTTTTATTATTCCTACAATTATTTATGAATATTTCAATGTTAGATTTCAACAAGACAAAAATTATGAAATCATCTTGCGGATGTTTTCGAAAATAAAAATGAGTACAATTTAGTTCATGTCACATATTAAGATCAATTAATTTTCAAAAGAAAGTTGTAATTTGGTAATATTTTTATGTTAACTAAAATTTGTAATTTCCAAGAAATTTGCTTTTATCATAATTGTTTCATTAAGTTTACTTCATCATCAAATTTATTCAAATCAATTGTTCAAAATTACTTTCCAAGAATCAACACTATTTTCAAGAATTACTATCAACTCATTCATAGTTTATAAACCATAAATTCACTTCTAATTAATAATAATATTATCATTTAAAGACATTCAACATCATTGAAGAATTACGAGTATTTTCAAGATTTAATCAATAGAATTGATTACGTTTTTAATTACTTCAAAAAAATAATAGTTTGTTAGTAACAATAAGAATAGTTTCTAAATAAATAGTTTTAAATAAATCTTAATTGAATGTTTTCTTTTTTTATTATTCCTTCAATTATTTATGAATATTTCAATGTTAGATTTCAACAAGACAAAAATTAAATTATGAAATCATCTTGTGGATGTTTTCGAAAATAAAAATGAGTTGACTTTGTTGAAAGAAATTATCCAATCGAAGCACAAAAGACATTGTGGGCTTCCGTATTTAACACTAGTGGTACGAAGAATCGAAGAACGAAGAAGTGGAGGAAATTAACGATTCGAACCTGAAATGTTTTCGAGTGTTTAACGGCAATCAACACCAGCGCTCTCCTTTTTTTCTTCTCTTCTTTCTTCTGTGTGTCGTGTAGTATTGCATCTCTCTCTCTGAATCCCACGGTGACAGAGCCATCATGATCATCATCAACTGTTGACACAATCCCTTCTGGTTCGTTCGACGCAACGCACATACTTGTGCTTAATCATTCAAACAAATTTTCGAGCCTTGTTTGTTTTTAATCCAATTACCAAAGACGAGCTACCGGAATTATCAATGCCTTTCGCACCTGTACACTCTTTTATCCTTATACTTTTTGTCTGTTTCTCTCTTTTTGTTGTTGTTACTTGTTGTTTATTGTTGATGGAAGGAGTGAGGGAATGAAATGTTGGTCGTGTCGTGTCGAGGCAGTGAACAAACAGAAACGCCAATTAATCCGACAAGTGGCTCACACAAAACGCGCCACATCCAACCACCTCCGGCGCGCCGCCCCCGCGATGCCAAAACCCCACGGTTAAGGGCAATCGTCAGCCACCTATTATTACCGGCAATATTCTCCAACGAGCGCGACTGAACTGCACTGCACACTACCTGTTTACCTAATTGATAGACCTTCAGCGCTGTTTACGAGATGATAACATGAACATTCCACTGCCGTTCGACAACATTACCTTCCAAGAATCAACACTATTTTCAAGAATTACCATCAACTCATTCATAGTTTATAAACCATAAATTCACTACTAATTAATAATAATATTATCA